AAATAAAAAAACTACAATATCGACTACATACATTTTACAAAATATACGTCAACAAGTATTAATACTGTTCCCTGCTTTTCTATTTAAAAAGCGTATATAAAAATTGGAAAGACACGAATACACCAATTTTGCATCCTACAAGGTAAAAGTTCGAGGCTCCGCGACAGGGGGATGAAATCGTTCGAAAAATTGTACAAAAGTTCCCAGTACACAGTTGGCGCAAGTTTTCAACAATGGCAAACGCACGCAATTTGAGAACAGAGAAGTGCTTCGATATCGGTAATGTGTTGCTCGAAAAACTGCAAACACTTCACCCTTTTAGGAACACGTGAGAGCACGCGAATATTTCGCTTTATTCGATCATTAGCAAAAGACTCGTGTCAAGAGCTTTCGAAATCGTTAACATTATTCATTGTACTTGTCATTCGGTTCCTTTCAATTCTATTACTCTTGTTAGTAAAACTTGATATTTCTAATACAACGTAAAAGAGAAACTAGTATCCATTTATTTCCATTTTACCGTAGCATTTACCTAGTGCAAACTCGCGGAAAATAGCCAGAGAGAAAAAAGACTTATTTAAAGAGAATGCCGACATCGGTGCACTATAATAGTAACAAATATCTGGGAAAGCTGTGTTCCGAGTTTCAGCGCATTTTCCGTTGAATATTTCGTAAAGTATTTGTGAAAAGCTATGCGACAAACCTGAAGGTGTTACGCTGCAAAATGGTGGAGGAGAGAGAGAAACAGAATAAACTGCAATTTTGAAAGGGAAGAAGCAACCGTGAAATGTAGGGCAAAGTTACATTTTTTGCTGCTTGTTTTCATACTCAAATTACCTTTTTAAAGGGATTCGAAAGATTTTTAAAGCGACTCAACCCATATTGCTTCACGAGATAAAACGAACGAGATTTCGACAAATTTTTGTGTACTGTGCGATATGGACGGATGTAGCTGCAGGAAAAATCCATTAACCTCGAACTGAACGGGAAAATTTAAACTTTTAACTGCGACGAGGTCTGAAAGAGTACCATCATATTTTTACGGCACGATATTTCTGAAATTAAAAATTTGTATCGACCTTAGTAAAATACGTCAACAAAATAGTAAAATAATAGAACATAAAAGGAGCTGTTGACGAATCCATGTATCAGCAAAGCAATAACCCGTTTATGTATCCGTATCATCGTGTGTGAATATATATTGTATATTCGAGCGTCGTATCACCGCATAATAGCATCCATCTGTGACTATATTAGAATCTGTATCGAGAATCTGACTCAATGGCACTCGTCATCCAGGGTCGGCATCGTTATCGCCACAATAGCTATCTCAACTATGGTCGTCTCACGATAATGGTGCATTCTAAGACGAACGGATTACGGCTTCGATCTTCTTCGAAGCGTCTTTCTAACGACGCCTCGGTTTGCTTCAAGCCGGGGAAATGCTTAAACAAGAAGCATGCGAAGGATGTATTCACGAACCTCACCTCACACAACCTTCTCCCTTTTCCTTTCCGCAATCTCGTTACCTACACTCTTCGTCCCTCCCTTTGATATGCATTATTGAAGTAATAAACTTTCATCGAAATATTTATGCGACCATGCCACGTTATCCTTCGTGAGGGATGCTCGTTCACGTTGTTACTCAAATTGCCGCCAAAGAACAAAGCGGGTAATGCATTAACACGCGAATGATCAGAAACATCGACGTTCCTCAATTTACCTCGATGAGTAATTATGGCACGATTACGACATCAATCGAACAGAGAGGCTAACGTAATTCTCCGTTTGATATACACATAATTGTGTTTGCCTTTAGTATAGGCAGAGTGATAGGAAAAGTAATTTGATGCATTTGTATTTGGAATTTCCAAATCTGCAAAATCGTAAATTGTTGTATATTTCCTTTCTTAATTTCTGGAGTGTCTAATTTCTAAAAGTACGCATTTTCTAATCTGCAAATCCTAAAATTCCTAAATCCTCAAATTCTGAAATTCTCAGATAGATTCCTAAACTGTTGAGATTTCCAAATTCAGTTACCCACTGCTTTAGAGAGACTCGAGTGTACTTATAACTCAACTTGATTCTATAAAATGAAATAGACATGGTCGTTTGATAACTCATAAATTTATAACGTAATTTTTGCTTCGGTAGCTCGAGCACAAATCGTAAAGCAAAGTTTTCAACTCTTCCGCTTCAGACATCTTCACGTCGTCTTCTTCTGCAGATAAAAATCATTCCTATCGGGACGAAATCGTTGATTTATTCGTCGGCGAAGTAGAACCAAGATTATTCGGTTTTAGCCAAGACTGAAAGTGACTCGTACCCTTCCTCTTTTTTATCGATTTGCCAAAGAAATTACTCTTACACGCTATCTCGCGATAGTTCGTTCTCACCAAAGTGAGAGAATTATGCGTTTGCGTTCTATGAAAGGCCAACTAGCAGTTTCAGGAGCTCCTTTCGGCTCTTGTCATTTGTCTTCCTCCGAGATAGAGCCAAAGTTTCAAAGAGCTCTCCAAGTTGCGTCCCAGGCGGTTACCGGAGAACGTCACCTTAAATTTTCCCGTTGTAGGAATTAATGGGAAAGAGTAATTTGTAAAATCTTCGTTAACGTTTTTAAAATACATTAAAATCCTTATATAGGTTTCGACAATATGGCTCCATGAAAAGCTCAACCTAAAACGTTTTCTTTTTGAAACATACTTTCAGGTATGAGACATCTAAAGAAATAATGTAATACTTAATGAGAAGAAATAATTCAGGAATAATAATTCAAAGGTAGACTAAAATTCTAAAACATACGTCGAGCTAGCAAGAGTTAAATTGAAAATCTGGAGTAAAATTCGAATGCTTCAGAATCTACCAAGAAAATTAATAATTAAATCGTGACAACTTGAAAGCTACGAGTTGAATATGAAATCGATATTAAATGTTTTTGTGATTCGACATTCTTTTAACATTTTTCTGGAACTAGTCTAAAAGGGTTATGCTCGTTGTCCAGAGCAACACCGTGCAGTCTGTAATTATTACTTCGTTTGTAATTCTATCTTCTCATGAATGTTAGTGCTATTAACTTCCTTTACAAACTATCCGACTTCCATTTTGCCGTACGCCGCTGCGTTCGACAGCTGCAGGTTCACCGGTCAGATCAAAGGTTGCAAAGGTCGTTCGTAATTAAATACTAGCTCAAAGACCACTGTTGTTGCATTGTATGCGCGAAATTTATTCGTAATTAATTTCGTTGCTTGTGCAATTTTATTACCTGCTTTCGAACGCCTCTCAATGAATTCTATATGAATTTATTTCCAGCTCTGTTCAGTCATTCTAGGAAGCAATATCAGAATTTGAATTTTGGTTAAATGAAAGTTTGTTAAATGAAAATCTATTAATTTTATCCTTTTTTGGTGTTGCTTTAATTAATTTTGATACTTGAATAAAACTTAAAGTACTCGGAAATTTTGATAAAATTTAAACGATATTCGAATTGTGTAATGATACTTGTAAGCATTTTACACCGCATCAGTGATTCCAATTTCTGCTAAATAATAGTAAATTACAATTATGAACTTGTTGGTGACTACATTAATCAATGTAGAACGAGGTATACCACAGCAAACTATTGTACTTTATGCCACGCATGTGGCTCGTTAAGAACCCGTTAACATAATAGGGTGCAGCTTAGAAAAGCAGGCACAGCGATACATTGTGTTACAATGCACGATGTAGAAAATTATCTTCTTGTAATAATTTTGATTAAAAGACAAGACCAACCCTCGCTCAAATAATTTATATTATACAATTTAATAATTGCGTGAGCTGCATAACAAAAACATAATTATACATATATCATATTTATTTGCAAAAACGATTTTTAATTATTTTACTGGTTCACCATTCCTCGAATTTGACTCCAAATCGTTATACGAAAATTATATGTTGTTCAATTTTGAAGAAAATTGGTTTACAAATGTTCAAGGTACTTTGGTTTAAATGAATCGTGAAAGTGCAGTATTCTTGTTTTGTAAGACAGAACCATATTATAGAAAATACAAAAAGGTGAGAACCAATTATAAATCATAAGCCCAATTGCGTCCGTAAATGGAAGTGTTCGGGAGAACGATAAAAGGGTTTTAGAATAAGAGGTAGCGGAATTATTGGATCGGCGGTGAAACACCTGGATTCACGGGTTCAGGTGGCTGTAAGAATCTCCGCAACTAGAATTTCGTTCTTTCGCTCGGGATCGTCATTTAAAGGGTTTTCGATGAGAAGCAGTCTACCTTTACAAAAACAATGATCAATATACCTATTCTATGAATTACTCGTGTTCAATAAACATTTTTAATACATTTTTATACGTCGAATTCGAATTCAAAAGTTACTTTTTCCTTACAGTTTCAAGTACGATAAGTTTCATCTTAATAAAAAGAATAACTTTCCACCATTTTGATGAATTGACTACTATCAAATATTGCAACATATTAAGAAACGATTATTATTAACAGAATACTATGTAAAATATGTTCAATAACATCGACATCTTTCTGCAAAACACTTGATCATTAGAAAGGAATGCAGGTAGTTTAGCTGGTCTGAGAAATGCACAAATGCTAGGTATCTCCACCTAAGACAGATGGGGCGAGAACAATGCCACAATTACACACTAAACAGTCAAGGATTTATAACAGTGTAATAGAGATTCCTTTAGATTCCGTAGCTTCCGACTGGAAATTGAGACTCGGTTTCTAACTGGAAACACCTAGCAGCGACAGATCATGCTAAAATGTTAGTAATTATTTTGCAAGAGTAATTACAACAGAATAAATTACAGCTAAACAGAATTAACTGTGATAAATTGAAATTAAAGAATTTATAATACAGTATTATATGAAGGTAATCGTTCTTCCTATTTATACTAACCTTCATCTTGTAAAGACCTAGTATTGGAATGGATACAAGTATTATGCATGCATAATACAAGTATTAAATAATAATTAAAAAAGAAAGTTGTGTAACGTTTTATTGAAATAAAGACTGTAATGGGATGCTGACAATTTATTGGTCCTGTACACTGAATTGGTATAAATCGATTTAAATATACAGCACGAAACCAAGTGTATTCGGATGAATAGTTTCCCGAAGATCAGCCAAATAAGTCTAAGATCAGATTCAGTAACTTTTAACAAATTTAATGGTGTACAGAAATAATACCCAATCGTTAAAAAGAAAATATTAATATGAGATATGAGAGAACTAATTTCTCGAATACATTTGATTCAATATCGTAGATTTAAATGAATCGTTCAATGAATAGAAATAATAGCTCGATCTCTTTTCTTACCGTATACCTTACATAATGATTCACTTAAAATAACGCTAAACAATATTTTATGATACAGTTTACTTACAATTATAACAAATTACTACTGCCCGATAAAAGATATAAACATATCCTGCCGATCACCTTCGTTTTTGCTTCGTAACATTTTTGTATGGGCTGAGCAACGTTTTCTTATTACGAATTGCCACAAATAATGGTGTAAAAAGTAATTAAACCTTGATCTGGCATTTTTAATTTATAGCGAAATAGGTAACAATACAACGAGGTTCGATTCATTGAACATGCTCAATGTTGTCCTCGTCTGAATCAAGTCAGACATTTTGCGTATATAAATGAACACATTCGAAGAAAGATGAAATCAACAGTGTAAGTATAGGATTTCTGAGTACATAGTACTCAAACTATCGTGCACAGTGTCACATAAGGAATTTAGTAGTTGCTTACATACACGTAACGTACGCTTTTAGATAATAATAGGTTTGTCCCGTTAGGAAATACCTCCTTCCAGAACAAACAGAAAATGTAAAAATATATGATAACGTGTATCAGATTTCTCCAGGATACTTGGAGATGATACGTAACTCTGTGTTTGGTTATCATTTCTTTATTCATTTGACTCGTTTCTGTTGTCTTTGGCGGTATATGTCGTTAGCTGGAGGCGGTGGTAAATCTTCTTCTTCGCTATCGTCACCTCCTAAACGCGTTCTTCTACGTTTAGATCCGATACTTACACCATCGTTACTTTCGTCCACGATCCAATGTACGGACTTGGCTAAGTCAAATAATTTTGTGTCACAACCATTATCTGCTATCGGCAATGGAGCTACAGATTCAAAATTTAATAAAAACGATTAGAATCAATTTTTTAATACTGAAAAAGAACTTGCTGATAGTATTTTTAATTATACCATGATCTGGTAGCTGAATTCGATTGAAAACGTCCATAAGCAAGTCAACAGCTACGAATGGTCCTCTGAAACAACCTGGTGGCGGAAGCATAGTACAAAGTTGTGCTGCGGCTGGTGGTAATGGGAAAGTGCCACCTAAATTAAAAATGGAAATAAATATAGTTCTATTTAAATATTTCCAAATATGTAATCAATATGTGGGTTATGCAGGTAGTCAAATACGTCGAATTTCGAAATTTTCACGAATCTCAAATATCAATATTGTATCAACACCCGTTCTTTCAAATTTACAAAAAAGATTCGGTAATAGTCCGTAATCTCGAATACTAGTATATTCCTAATAAATATTAACACTACAAACCAGGTACTGGATGCTCTCCCGGTAATGGATTTACTTTTGGCTTATAAGGAATCATTTGTGACAAATCCGGTCTAGGTAAAGAAGCAATAGCCTCTTCCGGATCTGGTATACGTGGTAATGCACCAACTGTACTTCTGGCAACACTAGACACTTCCATGTAGCCAATAGATCGTAACTCCATAGGAGTACATGGATATAAATCCAAGAATTTGTATCTATCTACTAATTGTGCTGTTTCTTTGCCTTCAAATTCTTTGATCTAAAAAGTGATCCAATTTAACAAATTATATATTAAATAAAAAGAATACGATATTAAGCAAAGTTTTGATAGTTTAATGACTCTGGTACCTTTTCTAATACGGCACTACGTCTTTTTTCAACTTTAACAATACTGGCCAAATCTCCGATATTCGATTCAAACTCTAAAAAGCGATTCCATATGTCACTAAAAAAAAAGTTAGTAATATTAGATATGAAAATAAATTCAATTTGCATATTATTAATAATACTCAAAATGGCCGTATCAAATACGTACACTGATTTTTCTGGTTCTAAACTACCAGAAGATAAAACTCTTTCAAACAAAACCCTTGTATTATTGTCCTCTGTAACATTAAAACATATTTACACAATTAATTTAAATAAATTAAATTACTCGTAAAATTAAGTTTACTCGTCTCACCGTTCAAATGCGATAAATAGTCGATATAACAAAGTATATAGTCAGGATTATCTCCGAATTTTTTTAAACCTAGTTCAAATATTCGGAAAGCAATATTTTTATCTTTAGTACAATAATATTCCATTAACGCTGCAGCAACATATACATGATGTTTACATCTCGGATCTTCTCGAGCTCGTTTAAAAACTGTTCTAGCAGATTTGATACCTTCTGCGCGTCTAGCAAATTTCATATATTGCACATACGCCTATAAAAAATTAACTACTTTAATAGTGTTGAAACATAACATGAAATTTCATATTGATACTAAATACTAACGAGTGTTGGATCAATATCAGGTATATCAAGAAATTTTTGATATATTTGATGTACTTTATCATATTTCACTCTCCCCTCTTCAAAATCTGCATGTGCAAAATATAATAACATGTTTTTAGATAACAGCGTACTTGTTGCTCTTTCAAACATAGTAGCAGCTTCATCGCTTAAATTTTTTGCTGCATTTACATCCCCCTTTTCCGTTAATATTTTTGAGCTAAGTTCTAAGAAATGTGCAGCTTGATGCCAAACTGCAGGGTGATGTCCCAAACATAATAAACATTGTTCTATAGCAAACATTACTCTACGAGCAACTAAAGAAGTATCTTCAGTTCTTAAAGGATTACTGCGTTCCCATGCAATATACTTCTTCCATAATTCAACCTAATACAAAAATATTTATGTTTACATAATAAACCAGATACGTTATATACTAATGGTATATACAAAATAGTACTTGTTTCACTTCTTCTGGATGGCCAGTTGGAGGTACACTAGGAGCACTGCGATTCAGTCCTCTGGTTACAGCTTCTAACTCCTTGGCAACCCTTCTTGCATTCATATAATCTCTGGAACGTTCAATAGCCATCTTTTCTGCAATTATTGGATTAATATTTTGTTCAAATGCCATGTAATCTTTCCATAACTGTTCCATGTTTATCATAGGATTAACAACACCACGTTGATATACCTATAATGTAACAATATAACTATAATGAAACAAATAAAACACATTTCAATCCACTTGTTAAAGAATTTGCATGATTAATTACCTTTCGAACCGCGCTAATTTTCTGATTCTCTGCATACGAACCAACAGCTTCAACACTTTTCAAAAACATAACGTAATCATTCCATATACTATATGAATGTATGTCCATTCCAATTTTATCTAATGCAAAATCATATGCTTGTGCCATTTTTTCCCTACAAATATATTGATTGATAGACTGAAGCATAAATCTGTGATTAAAAATCTATTCAGAGACCAAGGTACTTACTTGTATGTTGCAAGACTAGCTTTTGTCTCTTTGACATAAGAAAGGTAAAGTTTCCACAACTCAATATTTAAGATTTTCATGAGGCACCTTTGGAAAAGCTGTCAGAGAAAACAAGTACTTTAGAGGTAATATAAGAAAATAACAGTATCCATACGAAGCCCACTCAAACGTTGTTACGAAAAGGATTATGTATCTACCACCTTACTTACCCTTACAGGCAAGTCTTTTTTATACACATATTTAAAAACATGAATGATAATACCAATAAAAGTCACATTGAAATATCAGAAACAGAAATTCAATAATTTATTAAAGCAAATTTTTAATACAATCACTACTACAATATTATTTATATATAGTGGGAGAAATAATAATGCACCAGTGCATCAATTGAGAATGATTTATTGCTTAAACATATGTTTCAGTGTGAATAATTGAGGAAAACTTTTTGTAAATATGAGATTATAAAGGTAACATAAAATAAACCCCATTAAGTAAAACAGTTTATTTATTTTCTGCAAGTGGGGTTAGTAATATGACAAAATTGACCTATGCGGGATCTAGAAATGAATGATCCCAAAACATGACAAAAAAATTTAGACAGTGTGAAGCAACATAAGGTGACGGAAATAAATGAAAAATTAATGAGAATTAAAGACATATATTATCCCTAATAAATATTCTTCAAATACATTAACATTTTAATACATTGAACATTCATTAATTTTTCTTCACCTTATGCTACCTCTATAGAATCACCACAATATTTGAGAATATTCCTCAAATATTGTTCAAGGGGAAGGTAAATTATGCAAAGTCCTATAACTTATTTACGAAATAGTTTTTGATAATTTCAACTGTCTCAAATTTACTTATAATATTGAGACAAATGAATGCATCATTTTTCTTGTATGCATAGATATAAATATACCTTGCATGAAGTAAGCATTTTTATTTTAAATCATGTTTAATAAAGTTTTTGCATCTTGATTATTGTGAATTTTATCATGTTTCAAATAACATAATCCAAGCACAATGAAAAGTGTATTGCAGGAAGGAATACAAGGCTGTTACATTCAGGAAGTTACCTTCATAAGTTGATTTATACTAATATCAAATCTATATTAACTGCGTGTAAATTAAGTTCATTATATATTATTTAATAAAGATCTCAGTCAACAAAGAAAACAACCTCCCAAATATACCAACACATAAATTATTAATTAATGAAAGATATGTTCATGGTGAAATACTGTTTTTATTCACCTCATATAAAACGCAAAGTGCTTAGAGTCACAGTGTATGATAATATTTAATCGCAAATTATTGAGTTAACCTTATAACACTAAAAAATTGTTTAACTATCACTGTTCAATAAGAAATTTTCCTATTTAATATAATGGGTATTTAATTATAACCATTTTTGATTAATTAATAAACATGCAAGTAACTGCAAGTTTGAATATAAAAAAAATTCACCCAACAATTTTATTAAAAAATTAATCATGAAAGTTTTGTATATTCTCAAAACAAACAGTTTGAATAATACATATAACTATAAATTTAATAATATATGAAATGTCATCATTAAATTTTGAAACTCAGACAATTAGTATTAACATACCTTTTCCACCTTTTCAAAGTTGCGCATTTTCATCTGAAACAGTCATAAATATAAAATAAAATTTTATTTCCTACTAGCATAAATTTCTATTTAACATTATTATTCAATATACAATGCTGTGCATAATTTAGCAGATCACTCATAAAATCTTCGGATGATGTTTCAGTTAATATTGTTTACAGTGGATAGACTGATGAAAGTCGTGATGGTATTACCTCTTGTTCTATATAAATCTTCCAATAACGACCAGCTGAAGGAAAGACAGAGACAAGCTTCTCAAACACTGGTCTTACTTCTGTAATAGGTCTATTTTGTGCTTCTCTAATAAGGATGCTCCATGCTTCCAAATCGTAAGGAGATTCATCCACAGTCTTTTGAGCGCGTTGTAACTTTTCATTTCCCCAGTCCTACAAATGAGAAAGACGCATAATTATTCAATGAACACAATTTAGTCTACGTGTTACACAAGGTGAGGTTATATTGACACAATGTACATATTTCAGACATTATTAAAACCACTTACGAATTCCGTTTTATCGTCTGTCATTTTGTAATCCTACGAACGATGCTAATGCCCTAAAATAAAAAGCTTTTATGTATCAGAGAAAAAAAAATGGCTGAAGGAAAGCACTCAACACCCAACTCGCTATAGCTTATAATTTCGAGTAAGCAATACCGCAGTATACGTATACTGTCCAGGTAATACTGAATACAATCCATAGGATCGATTACTTTCGATATACTGTTTCGAGATGTCGTTCGATACATTGAGCAGTTCACTTTCGATAGATATCATTTTAGTCCTATTTGAATTAAAAGGATATCTGTAACAAAATTCCATTTTTATTTGTAAATTTATTAACTTAGCGATATATGTTACTCGTGTCAAATGTAAATATTATATGGCGACTAAAAATAATTATTTATACAAAAATCGTACACGTCATATGATGACTTTTCATTCATCTGCGCATCTTAGCTATAAATGCTTTGTAACGTACATGCACATTTGCGATGTTCATGACATAGAACGTATATACCTGGTGATTTTTTACTTTGTACATTTCACATGTCATCAATTCTTGCTCTTATTCATATATTTTTGACCACCATGTATTGAAAAGAGTATGGCAGAAAGTTAGCTCTAGGTGGGTGCGAGCTTTCTGAAGTTAGCTCCGTTGCGCGAAAAAAATATGGTTTGTCGTTGAACGGAATATACGAAGGAAACCTTATTGTTCATTCTCCAACAATTTTATAAAAAAATTAGTTTGCAATTAAATCAGATCGTATTTGTTACTAATTTTCGTTAATATTTTACCTGAACATTTTAGTGCAACGTAACAATATACAATGTATTTACATGAAAAAGAATTCTGAAGTTTTCAAAGTTTAACGTGTAAGTTAATAGTATAACTACATTCATATATGTAAATTATTTTGCGTTTCGTCTTTTCAATTCATCAGCCATTTGTACTATAGGAATGCAGCTGTTTAAAATGCAAAAAATAACACGCCCCCGGGTGGGCTCGAACCACCAACCTTTCGGTTAACAGCCGAACGCGCTAGCCCATTGCGCCACGGAGGCTTGTGCTAAGACGTTGTAATTGACTGTTCTCCAGCTACAAGATTTCGAATTTAATCATATTTTTTGTTTAAGTAATACTATCATTCATATGAACTACGAATTTATAACAAATATTTATTACCTTCCATTGAGACTATTTCTAACGATCAAATTTACTAAATAATATGTTAAAATTAACATTTAATATTTAGTATATTCTTTCTTTTCCAATTTTTCAACATTGTAAAACTGATGCAAATGCCTTAAAATATTATCATATTATAACACAGAAAAATGTCCGTGTGTTACGCTGAGACGTTGTATGCATATTCGAAAAAAGGCAGAAAAGTATTGTACGTGTACTCTTATAATGATAGTACAGTAAAACCCTTATTAAAGAACACTTTTTAAGGGATACACAAAAACTAATTACGTCATCATTGTGCCTGCATTGACTACTTTTCTTGGATTACTTTCTTTGTAAAAATTTATTGCGCATGTCTATCTTTTACGGTTTAGTACTGAGCAGGGGATCGATGTTAATTGATTAATTTCCCGTGCATAGCACGGGCGTTCACAGGTTGCTAATTAAATGATTAAGCATTAAATTTAATTAAGTTATGCACTGTATGAAAAGTGGTGAAAATAAAGAAAAATTTATCAACAATCATTGTGTATTTATTGTTACCTATCAAACCCAACAGAATAAAAATTTACATATTCGAAACAGAGACTTTGTATCAAGAGAACATGAGAATTCCTGGAATTTGACGTCACTAACATTCCAAGAAGTAGCATAAGAGATACCTCTTCACATCTTATGTTCTCCTGATACAAATTTTCAAAATCGATCGATACAATTTCAAAAACCCGCCCGGGAATTCTTGGAAAATGACGTCAGGAAAATTCCAAGAAGTGGCACGGAGGATACCTCCTCGCGACTTATGTTCTCCTGATACAAATTTCGAAAATTGGTCTGTGGCATTTCAAAAATCCCGCCCGGGAATTCTTGGAAAATGACGTCAGGAAAATTCCAAGAAGTGGCACGGAGGATACCTCCTCACGACTTATGTTCTCCTGATACAAATTTCGAAAATTGGTCTGTGGAATTTCAAAAATCCCGCCCGGGAATTCTCGGAAAATGACGTCAGCAAAATTCCAAGAAGTGGCACGGAGGATACCTCCTCACGACTTATGTTCTCCTGATACAAATTTCGAAAATTGGTCTGTGGAATTTCAAAAATCCTGCCCGGGAATTCTTGGAAATGACGTTAGCAAAATTCGCAGGAAGTGGCACAAAGGATACCTCCTCAGAACTTATGTTCTCCTGATACAAAATTCCCGGTTCGATCAATTTTTGTGCCACCTCCTCTTGTATTATGTTCTCCTGATACCAAATTTTAAAACTTGGATTTTTGACGTCAGCAAAATTCCAAGAAGTGGCACGGAGGATACCTCCTCACCACTTATGTTCTCCTGATACAAATTTCCAAAATTAG